TTCTTCCGGCAGTTATCAAATTCCGAAAAGTGTCTCTCCCGCTCTTCTGCCAAGTCAGCCAAGTCAGTCTCGTCGGCCAGTCGGTCGACTCCTTGGGAAATAGTCAAAAATCCCTGACAAATTGTCAACGAAAGTTTATTCTCGGTTTGAAAGTTGGGAGCAGGAAACTTTTTTGCCGGGTAACGACTGCTGACAGTTGTAAAAATAATATTGCGTATACGCAGTGTTCGCCTGCGGCAAAGGGCAATGATGAAATGCCTCTTGGGCCAAAGTAAACACAGTAAGTGAAACCCAAAAAAAAAAAAGAGGAAGATAATAAAAGTGGCAAAGTTTCCCATTCAAGTTGCAATTAGCCATTGGACTTTCGACACAGAAGACTCTTAGAATTTCGTATCTGACAATGATAAGTGGAAAAACAGATCTAAACTTTGAAAAGTTAGGGCCAATGACAGTTGATTGAGAAGGCCGGCGCCGGTCTTGAATTCCCTAATAATTTCCTTGTGTAGTTTGTTTGTTTAAGACACTTTCCGCAGCACTCCAATCACGAAGGAAGAGAAAATTAAATTTTTATTTCAGCTCACTTTGCATTTTCGTGGCAAATTCAATTTCAGCTGCTGTTCCCACTTCCTGTTGCACTTTGTTACTTCGGTGCTCCACCCCCATTCGGTGCATTCCTTTGCTCTGTTTCAATTAGATGCCTTCGCTATCTAGGTTCGCTCCAGTACCCCTGGTGGGAGCCCCTCCCAACTCCTGCTGACTGCTGCCAAAAGTTTATGCAAGAATTTCACCGTATCTGTGCGAAAGTCTGCACAAGAGCCCAAACAAAACAAAAACAGAAGTTGAAACAGCAGAGCCAGCAGCGCCAGCCAAAAAATACTTATTGCTCAAAAATAAAACGCAATGGCGAAAGCAGCTCGAATAAAGAGCTAGAAACCGGAAATGAAATTGCAATTGCTGGCCCATGCCGACGACACCAAGTCGCGACGCGTTGATGCGCAGCACCAGTAGCGGCAGAAAAGCATCGGAAAAGCAACAGAAAAGCAGCAGAAAAACAGCTGAAAGCTGCTGCATATAAGCAGCGAGTAAACTTGCTTTTGCTTTGCTTTGCCATGTTTCTCACTGTTGCCTTTTTTGGCCTGACTTGCAAAGCCATTTCCGCCACGGTCTCATATTGCGCCTGGGCGTATGCAATAAAGTTTGCTCAGCGACTGCGACAGTAGAGCTACGCTAAAGTCAACATTAAAAGTATTTTCTTAAATTTGTATATTTTGAAAACCTAAGCTCGTTAAATTCTTAAACTTGGCCGAACTGCCAAAACCATTTCCCAAGCCCACGCTACCACTTATGGCCATGGCCGCAAGGGCTTAATCAGGCGCAAACTTTTTAGAAGAATTCTCCCGACTCTCCGCTCGTAATGTCACCAACACCCACACACACACACAGCACTTACCCATACAGCCACAATCACGCACTAGCTCCGCCCAGAAGCTCATTAGTTGCGGGAGCGGCGCTTAAGCTTAAGCTGCGAAGCGTAGAAATTGTGCGGCTCTGGCGCTAAACAAGTTAATTAGTTTGCCTCTCTTCTTGGCTTTTTTTTGCCAACTGCTTTCTCCTTGTGCGGCACGGAGTTAAGCTTAACGACAAAATAAATTATTTGCCCCACACACTCACACTCGCAGCGGAGGCTTCAATTGACTTTATTAAGCGTGTGTGAGTGCGTGTGTGGGCGTGCTTGGGCTTTAATGACACTTTTCAGTCAGCTGCTGCTGACTTACGTTTATTATCCTTTAGAAAGGATATTCAGCCCGGGTAGAGCCTGGATGGGCAGAGAGGGTTGCTGGAAAATGGGTCTCCCTCTAGAGCTTGACTTTGATCTATGGCATATTAACCTCCACTCGAGAGGTAGTCTTCTTTTTCCGGGATCTCTTCTAATTCAAAATTAATTTATATTCGCCATGGACACCTGGGCGGCCTGTGCGGCCCACTGTGCAGCTGTGGCAACAATGGGAAACAAGGCGCAGGCAATTGCCTGTGTGTCACATAAAGGACACTTTGTTGCCCCTTAGTTAAATATATAAAATACACTGAGAGAACTATTAGATCCATTTCAGTGGCAAGCTACGCTTTGGGCTTTACAAAAATAGATTTTTTTCAAGTGTAAAATACATACTAAAAGCAGAGACAAGCCTTAGCTCGTTTAATCTTGGATTTTAATTGTAGGGCCATAATGTTTGTGGGCTTCCAACTCAGGGCGCAGGACATCGAGCCGCAGCAGTCACAAGTAAATTGAATTTAATTGGCAACCAGTTTTTTCCTTCTTTATGGTAATTGTGTTGGATTTTATTTGTCATAAACTTCGGCCGGCAATAAAAAATCGCTGTTGGAACCGATGCTGTCGAATGCAAATGCAAATGTCCTGCAGCCCTTTAAACGGGCCAGCAAGCAACTTCTGGAAGTCCTAATTAGTGTGAGTGGGCCATTAAGAATTTGCTCAGGTTCGAAGCGAACCAGCAGCGTGGCTTAAAGTTTGCCTCGAGTGTAGGGCAAAGAAATTAAAATTGAAATGTAAAAGTTGCCAAACTTTCTCCGCCCCCTCCCTACGAAAACACTAACATACACACATTTTTTCGGGAGGAGTGGATATTTAAAATGCAAAGCAGGAAAGAACTGGAGCCCGGAACTTTAGCTTTCAAGTGGGTTCGTGGCAGGTGGGCTGCAAAAACTTTCTGCATTAAGTGCACTTTGCAAAAAAGACCAGACGCAAAAGGCTAGATAGAAGGAGCGATGAGTGAGGAGGAGCAACCTGCCACGAGCTCATTAAAAGTAAAAATGATATGCATTAAGTTGCTGGCGGTGGCTGGGCGTAGCATTAAAGGGCTGGCCTGCACTCATTATGCCAAACTGACGCCGCTGCGCCGCCTCTAATGGTCAGTGTTAATTGCGTGGAAAGAATTCGGAATGCAGCTCCTCTGGTTCTCGCTCAGGGTCCTCCTCCTACGGTTGCTCCTTTTCTTGCCACGTAATTGAAGCCAACTGACATTTGCCTGATAAATTGTCATAATTCCTGCCCACACACACACTTACCCACATACGAATACGTTGCCCAAAAGGACTCTCTGCGGGCTTCCATCAATACATATTTCATTGCCCTGACACATGCATTAACATGTCTAATCGGCACGCACGGGTCACAGTTGCAACCGACCCAGTGGGGGAGGCAGGACGCCCTGGGCGCTTTTGCGTTTTGAAAGCACGTAGCCATTATTCATTCTGCGGCCCCCAGCATAATTTATTGCCCTTGGCACCACTCACATGTCAGACATTCCAAAGTGCTGCCCAACTGACAATTTGCAGAGACTGACATGCAGGCCCCGCTTCGTCCTTTTCGTCCTGCACTCCACTTTTTCCAGGTGAAGAGCCTTAAAATTTATTTTGTTTGACTAACTGACAAAACTTACTCCCGGTCTGGCCCTGTCTCGTCCTGCCTTGTCCCGCTAGCTCGTTGCACGATGCTGTCACTGCGATGACAGCCCTCTGTCCATCCGGGCAACGGGGCGTATGCTTTATGTACATTCCACACACACACAAAGCATATATGTATGTACTAAACGCCTGCCGAAGTCAGTGCTGCTATAAGCTTCTTATAGATCTGAATGCCGTTCAGGTAGAAGTCACCCTGGACGAACTTATCGCGGGCGAGCAGCGGGATCGGAGTGTTAATGATAGGAGGAAACCCGAGGGCTTCGTGCCTCTGCCGCTCCTTACAACATGCCTCTATGTATCTTGAGTTTTCTTTGTAAAAATCAGCATAAAATTATAGCTCTAGCTCTAAATATTCACACAATTCATTCATAGTTCACTAAAAGCCATCCAGTAGGGACTCCAATCATCAGACTTCGTGGGTCCCAGGTGCTTGTTGGTCATAAAAAATTCCATCTGGATATTGCCTCCTAATTCCTGAAACCTGGTGCAGACCTGCTTTATGAAATCCATAGCACTCCGGGTAACAGCCAGGCGAATATCGAACACGGCTTCAAAGTCCGAAGGGACAATGTTCCTGTGGATGGCACCACAGTTCGAATTTGGGATTGGCATGCAAAGGGGCCAGCTCACAATATCGGAATTCCATCAGCTTGTCATGGATGCGGTGGATGGTCTAACCGGGTGAAATGGGCTCGAGTCGGATGTAGTGGAAGGAGGGGCCGTTGAACGTGAATTAAAGAACTGGAAGGAGATGGTAAGGTAATTTCCCTGGGAGCAAACCAAATACCCTCTCCAGGAAGTGCGTTCGGCATTGAAATAGTGATAGGTTTCCGTTGGACTGACATGGCCTTCGTTCAGACAGAAGTCGACGTTTATTTTCCGGAAATAGTTGGTTTCCACGAACACCTTCCTACCCTGCTCCCGGCCGATCTCCTGGTCTGGCACATAGGTACACAGTCCGAGATGGTTGGTCCTGTTCTTTGGAGAGCTCTTTTGGCCCCAGGTACTGACCACCCAAGCACTTCATGCCCTGCCACTTCGTCCATATGGGCGGCTAAGGGGTCGTAGTTCCACTTCCACAGCCATGGAAGTGGCTAGTATTTTTAGTAAGAGTTGTAATATTTTTTAAGTTCTATCTGAGGGACTATCTGGGTAAACGGAGCAAATAAATAATAATCTTAAATAATCTAAAAACGATTGAATTTTCTTGGTTTTATCCCAGGAGGAGTAGTTTTCTCTCGGTTGAAAAAGAAGTAGCTTGTAAAAATGTCTTTCTCCAATGCCTTGAGCAAAGTCGAAACATATTAGGATTATCTTTGATTTTGGAAACAAAATTAAAAGTTTATAGCTCTTACCAACTCAATGATAACTTTATTTTTTGAGATCCTTTATTTCGAGATAAGCACAATTATAGTTGCGAAATTTTTTTATCTCCTCATATGCACTGGATGCTAATTTTTAGCCCACTATATGGTTATCAGACCTTTTCATAAACTTTCTAATTCCCACGTCTTTGTAGATAAGATAAGGTGCCGTTTTTATTTCAATCTTGAGATTTGTAATCTTAAATTTCTACCAGCTTTCGGATTATATTTTCGTAGACTTCAATGCCTTTCAAGTAGGCATCGGCGTACACGAATTCATCGTGATCATGAAGACGTACAGGGGTATTAATAATTGGAGAGAATCCAAAAGCTGGAGTGCCCTGCCCGCGGATGAAGCGACTGTCCGTGGCACCATAACACACAATAGGTTGAACTTTCAAATTCCTGAAAATATTTTATAAAGTTTTGTGCTTTTTTCTTAGAAGAGCGTCAGTACTCACAGTTCGTCGAAGGAGGCTTTGAGGGCCACCCAATAGGGATTCGAAGAGTCCATTTTTGTGGCTGCCACCACAGGCTCCTTCCTATAGAAGTCTATCTCAATGCCACCTCCAGCCTCTTCGCACCACCCGCGGATTTGCTTCTCAAAAGTAACCACATCCAGGGTGATGGACAGACGCATATCGAAGACCGCCTCAAAGTGAGGAGGCACCACGTTGCTCTGGACTCCTCCGCTTATCTGGGTGAGGTTCACAGTGGTAACGTCCCCTAAGGTTAGGCTTGGCTCCTTGGCCAAAATATCCAGCTGGGAGGTGCGGAATTCTGTGAATTTATTCACAACATAGTTTAGCTTCTCGCCAGCTGTGTTCGGTAACAACAGGGAGCCATGGCCGGAGGTTCCGTTGAACTTCAATCTGATACCTATCAAAAGGTTTATATTCCTCTAGAGATATTTAATATTCAGGAAAACCACTCACCCCACAACAGACGTTCGGCGTAGAAGAGATGGTGCACATCAGAGTCGCTGGTGCCACCTTCGTCCAAACTGAAGCCCACGTTCATTTTGCGATAGTACTCCGTTTTCACAAACTCTGCCATTCCCTGACGACCTCCGATCTCTTCATCGGGAACGAAGGTCACGTAAACCGTCCTCTTGGGTCGGAAGCCCTTCGACTTCAGAAGTCTTATAGCTGCCAGGTACTGCGTCCCTACGGACTTCATGTCCTGGGTACCTCTGGCAAATATCCTGCCCTCGGAATCTATATCCGCGCTAAAGGGTTCGTGGGTCCACTGGTCAGGAAACACAGGAACCACATCCATGTGCGAGTTTAGTATGATGGAGGAGAGTTCCGACTGGCTGCCCAGCCATTTGATGATCACCACTGGTTTCTTCTCCACGGGATAAACCACTTCAACGGGGAGATTCAAGGAGTCAGCTTGTCGTTTCAGGAATTCCACACAAGCAGCTTGAAATATTCATGGTTTTAAAAGTTTGTTTTAATGAAATTGTAAGGTCTATCTCACTGTAATCTATATCAGGATGTACAGATGGGATTCGCAAGTATTCCCGGAAAATTTTAATTTCCTCATTGCTTTCCCATTTATCCATTTTTGAAGGTTCCTCAGTGTACTTTCTCAAGATGGTGAACCGCGAATGAGCGTCGAAAAGTGTTTCTGGTACTTATATCTGAAATATATTCGTTTAACAGATAAGAAACTGTGATAAGATTGATAAAAGTTTTATCAGAAGAGTCGGATCTAGCTTATACCTTTATAAAAGAAATAAAACAATAAAGCTTTTTCGAATAAAATCAAGTATATTGATTGCACAAAGGCGTAAGATTTTTACGACACGGGTTAATGGGTGTAATTTAACTTGTGATAAGATTACTTTAATTCATTTTTCATTCTGCTGAGAACTAAATTCTGGGTTTTAGCTACAATTTTCATATCTGAGCCAGCTTGCTAATAATATTTTTGTATACTTCAATGCCTCTCAAGTATACATCGGCCGAAATAAACTCATCATGGTCATGGATCCTCATGGTGGTGTTTATGATCGGGGAGAATCCAATAGCTGGTGTTCCCTTTTGACGAATGTATCGACTGTCTGTGGCGCCAGGACACACAATGGGATGTACCTTCAGTCCTCTGGGAATGTCAAAAAAAATGTATCAGATTATATGTAGGTTTAAACAACCGGCAACTTTACTCACAGTTCATCGAAAGACGCTTTAATAGCCAACCAGAAGGGATTCGAATCATCCAACTTGGTGGCTCCAACGTAGGGCTCCTTCCTGAAGAAATCCACTTCAATGCCACCACCAGCCTCTTCGCACCAGTCTCGGATTTGTTTCTCAAAGGAAACCAAGTCCAGGGTGATGGCCAGGCGCATGTCGAAGATCGCCTCGAAGTCGGGAGGAACCACATTGCTTTGAACTCCGCCGCTCAGTTGGGTGAGATTCACGGTGGTCACGTCTCCCTTGCTGAGGGAGGAGTCCTTTTCCAAGGCTTCCACCTGGGAGTTCCGGAACTCTGTGAGCTTCTGTATTACATAGCTGAGTTTTACGCCGGCAGTATTCGGAAGCAAGAGGGAACCATGTCCTGAGGTCCCAGTGAACTTTAGTCTAAGAGCTGTAAATGTTTGCTTTTTAAGAGATCCTTCGTTTTGGGTAGTGCTACTTACCCCATCTTAGGCGTTCCGCGAAGAATAAGTGATGGACATCAGTTTCACTGGTGGCTCCTTCGTCCAGGCTGAATCCCACATTCATTTGCTTGTAGAAGTCAGTCTTCACAAACTCCTGCATTCCTAAAGCTCCCCCGATTTCTTCATCCGGAACGAATGTTACGTAGACCGTTCTCTTGGGCTCGAAACCACCAGCCTTGAGGTGGCGGATGGCTCCTAGATATTGGGTTCCCACAGATTTCATATCCTGAGTGCCTCTCGCAAAGATCCTGCCTTCGGAATCTATGTCCGCGCCGAAGGGCTCGTGAGTCCATTTTTCGGGAAATACAGGAACCACATCTGTGTGGGAGTTCAGGATGATCGACGGTAGTTCCGGTTGGCTACCCAGCCATTTAATGATCACCACTGGTTTCTTTTCCGCAGGATAAACCACCTCAACGGGAAGATTCAAGGAGTTGGCCTGACGTTTAAGGAACTCCACACAAGAGGCTGCGGAATACAAAAAATTTAGATAATAATAAGTCTTATAGGTAGTGGAAACGTCATCCTTACTGTAATCCACATCAGGGTGCACTGTGGGAATTCGCAAGTACTCCCGGAAAATTTTAATTTCCTCGTTGTTCTCCCAACTCATTTTCGATTAGTGGCTGCTAGAGTCTTGCACTGAAGTCTACAAAGTCCGAATAGGCAATGAGAGCCGTATGGCATCTCAGGGGTTTTTATATATTTACTTGTGGGTTGGTTTCTAGTTTATAGTCAAGATAATCAAATGTTTTTGCGGTTGTGATAAAAGTTTTATCAGAAATATGGAGAGTTTTTAGCCTGAAGAAAGAAAACTTTGTTAATAATATGAGGTTATTCTGATATCTTTCTTTGTCGGTAGTTTTCTAAAATGGGGGCTCCCTTAACAACAAAAAATAACTATGGTTGTGGTTAGTTTCTGGATCTAAATGGATCTGAATATTCGTAGAGTACATTAAATACGAAAATAACCAAAGTTCAAGTGCATTGATGATTGATTGCTTTCCTTCTAATCGATTGGTAACTTATCTACAAAGTATTACAATATCCCACTATTTTATCAATATTGACTCAGTTGTATCTACCTGTTGTTAAAAGGATAGCAATTGTGGATTTCTTTGGTGTCTGGCCATAAAAACATGTCCATTAATGCCGCCCAGATAAGATACGGTCCGGTTGGTATTTTGGTATCAACTTGTTGCAAAGTTAATTAATCTTTATTTCTGATAAGTTCCTAGTACATACAGTATTTCGAATTTGTTTTAGACGTTAGCGAGGTTGCTCAGAATTTTCTTGTAGATCTCAATTCCCTTCAAGTAGGTATCCGCTCCCAGGAATTCGTCGTGGTCGTGGATGCGCATGGTGGTGTTTCGGATGGGAGAGAATCCAAAAGCTGGGATGCCCTGGGCACGAATGTTCCTGCTGTCGGTGGCTCCGGGACAGACAATGGGATAGATGTTCAGGCCCCTGAAATATAATGAGAATGTTTTAGAATGCTGCCCATAATCCTCTACCATAGTGAAACCTACAGCTCGTCTGTGGCTGCCTTGAAGGCCACCCAGAAGGGATTCGAGTCGTCGATCTTGGTGGGCTCCACATAGGGTTCCTTCTCGTCGAAGGTGATCTCGATGCCGCCGCCAGCCTCCTCGCACCAGTCGTGGATCTGCTTCTCGAAGGCCACCACGTCTAGGGTGATGGACAGCCGCATGTCGAAGACAGCCTCGAAGTGTGGGGGCACGACATTGCTCTGAACGCCGCCACTGAGCTGTGTGAGATTGATGGTAGTGACGTCACCGATGTTAATAGTCTGATCCCGAGCCAGTCGCTGGACCTGCGACTCGCGGAACTCCGAAAGCTTGTTCAGGACGTAGTTCAGTTTCACGCCAGCGGTGTTGGGCAAAAGCATGGAACCGTGTCCGGCAGTGCCACCAAAGTTGAGCTTCATGCCTGCGGAAATGAGGAGTGTTAGTTATTCCTTTGAGTCCTATAAAATCAAAAAGACTTACCCCATCGCATCCTCTCGGCATAGAAGACGTAGAACAAATCAGTCTCACTGGTGCCGCCCTCATCCAGGCTGAAGCCCACATTCAGGTTCTTGTAGTACTCCGTCTTGACGAACTCCTGCATGCCCAGTTCTCCGCCGATCTCCTCGTCTGGCACAAAGGTCACGTTAATGGTCCTCTTGGGCTGGAAGCCGGCTGCCTTGAGGAGGCGGATGGCTCCCAAGTACTGAGTACCCACGGACTTCATGTCCTGAGTTCCTCTGGCGAAGATCCGACCCTCCTCATCAATGTCAGCGCTGAAGGGCTCGTGGGTCCATTTTTCGGGAAAGACAGGAACCACGTCAGTGTGTGAGTTGAGAATGATGGAGGGCAGTTCGGGTTCACTGCCCACCCACTTGATGACCACCACTGGCTTTTTCTCCACGGGGTAGACCACATCCACTGGAAGGTCCAAGCTGTGGGCCTGGCGCTTCAAGAACTCCACGCATTCGGCTGTTAAATTGATTTGATTTTAATAATTTTCCCATTTAATCCTTGCCATATAATCCTTACTGTAATCCACATTTGGCTGCACGGTGGCTATACGCAAATATTCGCGGAATATTTTAATTTCCTCGTTGTCCTCCCACTTTTCGGTACTCATTTTTTGTGAAGCGGATTCTTTCGGTGACCAAACTCGAATGCCGTCGAATGGCTGGTGCTATTTCGATTTATATGAATTTGATTTTATGGCCTCGGTTCCAAATTATTATCAAATAATGACTGTTGATAACCAAAACCTCATGTTCTTTTGCGGCAACAAATGACTGATAGGAAAACGGTAGCCTATATTCGATATTGTACAAACAATAGAAAACTATGGCCGAAGTTGGTACACTCTGGTGATATGTTGGCGTACACTATCAAGAAGAGGTTCTTTTATTAAATAAGTATTCAATATAACCAAAACCTCATGTTCTTTTGCGGCAACAGATGACTGATAGGGAAACGGTAGCCTATTTTTGATGTTGGGCTATGTTGGGCTGTTGGGCTATGTTGGACTAGTCTATCAAAAAGAGGTTCTTTTAATAATAGTTAATACTGTAGGTTCAATGTTTCAATTATGTGTTTTTTTATAATACAATCATTTAAGTTATGAATCAGACCATTTATGCATTGTATTTTTAAACATATCACTAGTTTGTAAAAAGTTTAAACATTACTCATTGAATCGAAATCGATAGGAAGCTCTTGAATGATAAGAAAAAAATACACATCGAAGCATTTAATTTTAATGTTTGATTCAGCTGTTTATTGATATGAAAGCCTAAAAAAATAAAAGTTGGTGGCACTTCAATCGAAATGTTTTATGAATCAGCCAGAGCTGGAATTAGCTTCTTGTAGATCTGAATGCCGTGCAAATAGGTCTCTGCCCGCAGGTATTCATCATGATCGTGGAGCAGCACCGGAGTATTGTTAATGGGGGAAAACCCCAGAGCAGGAATTCCGACCTCTCGGACATAGAAGCTATCGGTGGCACCGGGGAAGACATGTTCATGGGTTTGGAGGCCACTGCAAATAGAGAAGATATAAATGAAAATGAGTTTATCCAATTGTAATTGTATACTCACATTTCATCTAGGCTTTTTTTAAAGGCCATCCAATACGGGTTCGAGGGATCGATCTTGGTGGGCTCTACGAAGGGACACTTAAGTTCAAAATGAAGCTCTATTCCGCCACCGGCTTCATCGCACCAATCGCGTATCTGCTTCTCTAGCTCATCCAAATCCTGCGTGATAGCTATTCGGATATCGAAGAGTGCTTCTAGGACAGGTGGCACCACGTTGCTTTGAACACCGCCCTGAATCTGGGTTAGATTCAAAGAAGTCACATCACCTACGTCCAGGGAGGGGTTTTCTGCCAACTTTTGGCTTTGTGATCGCCGGAACTCCATCAATTTGTCGAGCACATACTGAAATTTTTCGGCAGCTGTGTTTTCCAGTAGCAGGGATCCATGTCCTGCAGTGCCATTGAACTTCAGTCGAAGATCTGAGAGTTCCAAAGGGTTTAAAATAGTTAAACATTTTGTTATTTAAATTTCAACTTACTCCACATAGTCCTTTCCGCATAGAAGATGGGATAGGTGTTGTCCTCGCTGGCCATGCCCTCATCCAGGCTGAATCCCACGTTCATGCTTTTAAAGTAATCTCCCTTCACCAGCTCGGCCATTCCACAGTCTCCGCCAGTTTCCTCATCCGGGACATAGGTCAGGTAGACCGTCCTTTTTGGCCTATATCCTGTGGCCTTGAGCGCGCGAATGGCAGCCAAGTACTGGCAGCCCACGGACTTCATGTCCTGTGCCCCTCGTGCATAAATCGTACCTTCATCGTCCATTTCGGCAGCAAAAGGATCGTGGGTCCATTTCTCTCTAAATACAGGGACCACATCCATGTGAGAGTTTAGAATGATTGAGGGAAGGTTCGGACTACTGCCCTGCCATTTTATAACAACAACAGGCTTCGAGGGCATCTTTGGATGAACCACATCCATGGGCAGGTTCAAGGAAGAGGCCTGGCGCCTCAGAAAGTCCACACAGGCAGCTGGAAGATTAAGAGGACTTTGGATTTCAGTTAGTTTGAGATGCACACCACAAAGTCCTTACTGTAATCAACATTTGGATGAACTGAAGGAATTCGCAAGTATTCGCGGAAAATGTTAATCTCTTCATTGTTCTCCCATTGTTTAGAGCACATCTTGAGCTGAACCCGCGGCTGTCATAAAGCGACTGTCCCCTAATGCGCCGCGTCCCTGGGCTTAAATTCGCAGTGGGCCAGAGTCTGTTATCATTTGTTGACTCTTGGGGTGATAAGTGAAACAGCCGCGGCTTTTGTGGTTTTCCTGTAGCCACAGAATCTGGCAAGGAGGTAGAAATCGAAACTGTGCTTATCATTTTAAAACGTTTTTAGGCTGATAAAACTTCGTACATATAAGATTTTGACACAACGTTCTCTTGCAAACATTTTATTGACATAGAAAATGAGTCTTTAACGACTAAAACAAAATATTTATACTTATTAAAAAATAAATCAAAGCTAACCTCGGGCGGGAGACAAGATATTTTTTAGATTTTTTGTCAATTTTTCGGGATCCCTTGAAAATGGGGTTTTCTTCTATATGGCCCACAGTGATGGCTATATCTTTCCCAATTCTAATCCGATTCTCAAGCGGAGTACCTTAAACGATTTCTGGATCGATTCGCCACCATTCTGCATCAAAATCCCGAGAAAAAATATTTTTTAGATTTTTTGTCCATTTTTCGTGCTGGGATCCCTTGAAAATGGGGTTTTCCTCTATATGACCCACGGTGATGGCTATATCTTTCCCAATTCGAATCCGATTCTCAAGCGGAGTACCTTAAACGATTTCTGGATCGATTCGCCACCATTCTGCATCAAAATCCCGAGAAAAATATTTTTAGATTTTTTGTCCATTTTTCGTGCTGGGATCCCTTGAAAATGGGGTTTTCCTCTATATGACCCACGGTGATGGCTATATCTTTCCCAATTCGAATCCGATTCTCAAGCGGAGTACCTTAAACGATTTCTGGATCGATTCGCCTCCATTCTGCATCAAAATCCCGAGACAAAATATTTTTTAGATTTTTTGTCCATTTTTCGTGCTGGGATCCCTTGAAAATGGGGTTTTCCTCTATATGACCCACGGTGATGGCTATATCTTTCCCAATTCGAATCCGATTCTCAAGCGGAGTACCTTAAACGATTTCTGGATCGATTCGCCACCATTCTGCATCAAAATCCCGAGAAAAAATATTTTTTAGATTTTTTGTCCATTTTTCGTGCTGGGATCCCTTGAAATTGGGGTTTTCTCCTATATGGCCCATAGTTATGGCTATATATTTCCCAATCCTTGTCCGATTCTCAAGCGGAGTACCTTAAACGATTTCTGGATCGATTCGCCACCATTCTGCATCAAAATCCCAAGACAAAATATTTTTTTTGATTTTTTGTTCATATTTCGTGATGGGATCCCTGAAAATGGGGTTTTCCTTTATAGGGTCCACAGTGATGGCTACATCTTCCCCAATCCTGATCCGCGGAGTATCTTAAATGATTTCTAGATCGATTCCCCCACTTTTTAAGGGGTAACTTTTGGAAAAAATTCAAAAAATTAACACATGGTAGTTAAGAAAGGTTTGGTATAAGGAATAAAGCTACTCGGAGCTTTAATCACAGAAATAAAAAGCGTAAATTTCGAATTGTTAAGGGGTGGTTGGAAAAAATTCGAAATATTCAAAAACTATATTCAAGGAAGGTTTGGTATGAGCTACTGAGAACGGGACTTTAGTTTTAAGAGATCCCCTGTCTCTTATCATTTGTTGACTCTTGGCGAGGTGATAAGTGAAACAGCCGCGGTTTGTGTGGTTTTCTCGCCACACACAGAATCCGGCAAGGAGGTACCAATCGGATCTGTGCTTATAATTTTAAAACGTTTCTATTCTGATAACACTTTGTACATTTAAAGTTTTAACACAAAAATCTTTAAAACATTTTATTGACATACATACATTTAGAACTTGTATTTTTATATACTATTTTTATTTATAAAAATAATAAATGCAAGGCGACAAATCCGAGCGTTTAAAATTGTATTTCAAATTTATTTAGGCATCTGCCACAGCGGGAATGAGCTTCTTGTAGACCTCGATTCCATGCAAATAGGTATCGGCTCGCAGGAATTCATCGTGATCGTGCAGCAGTAGGGGAGTCTTGTTGATGGGTGAAAAGCCTAGAGCTGGAATACCAGCATGACGAACGTAACGACTGTCCGTAGCGCCGGGGAAAACGCGCACACGCGTCTTAAGGCCACTGAAAACACCAAAATAAGCATTCAAAACTATGTTCTAGCGTTCACTGTTCCTAATCTACAGCTTACAGATCATCTAATGTCTTCTTGAAAGCCACCCAGTAAACGTTCGAAGCATCAATCTTTGTGGGCTCCACAAAGGGATTCTTCATCTCGAACTCCAGCTCAATGCCGCCGCCTGCCTCCTCGCACCAGTCGCGAATTTGCTTCTCAAAAGCAGCTATATCCACAGTAACGGCAATGCGAATATCAAAAACAGCTTCCAGAAGGGGAGGCACTACATTGCTCTGGACTCCGCCTCGCAGCTGGGTGAGATTCACGGTGGTGACATCGCCTATCTCTAGATTGGAGTCCTTGGCCAGGCGCTTGACTTGCGATTTGCGGAAGTCCATCAGCTTACGGACCACATAGTCCAGCTTCTCACCAGCGGTGTTGGGCAGAAGCAGGGAACCGTGTCCCGCAGTGCCGCTGATCTTAAAACGCAGATCTAGAAGATTAATAGATTGAGTGCCAAGAGTTTTAAAAAAAGATTGAAAGAAACCCAAACTCACGCCACAGCGTCCTCTCAGCGTAGTACAAAGCATAGCTTTCATCTTCGCTGGAGATTCCCTCGTCGAAGCTGAAGCCCACATTGAGCTTCTTAAAGTAATCGCTCTTCACCAGCTCCCGCATGCCCAGGTGTCCGCCCACCTCTTCGTCGGGGACGTAGGTGAGGTAGACAGTTCTCTTCGGCTGGTAACCTTGGGCCTTGAGAGCACGGACAGCACCCAGGTACTGAGTGCCCACGCACTTCATGTCCTGGGAGCCGCGGGCAAAGATGCGGCCTTCCGCGTCCAGATCTGCGCTGAAGGGGTCGTGGGTCCATTTTTCCGGGAACACTGGCACCACATCCGTGTGAGAATTGAGAATAATTGAGGGCAACTCTGGCTGGGAACCGAGCCATTTCATCACCACCACGGGATTCTGCTGGTTCACCGGGTAGATCACATCCACGGGCAGGCCCAGGCTCTCAGCTTGGCGTTTAAGAAATTCCGTACAGGCAGCTATAAATAGCAGACAGGGGTCGTAAAGACAAGGTCATAAAGATCACGGATATATCTTATCGTTCGGTTGTATAGATTAAAACCTACTGTAGTCCACATTGGGATGCACTGTGGGTATGCGAAGGTACTCGCGGAAGATCTTGATCTCCTCGTTGTTTTCCCACTGGCTGGTGCTCATATTGGAATGCACTTGAGCGCTGAAATTAATTGATTGATAAGATTATTAGCCGGTTGGCTGATTGTTTGGACAAACAAGATCAGCTGATCATTCACCTTTTACAACACTGGAAATGTCTACCGGCGGGATGTTGGTGTGGTGAATTTGAATATTTAAAATTGAGGAGGTTTCAACTTTGCTAGTTTCAGTCCAATTGATAAACGCGAACTGTGCGATTATTTTTTCGAGCTGGCGTTTAAATAACAGCGGCAAAGAGAGTGAAGGAAATGGACAGAGAGGAAAGCCAACAATTATAAAGAAAGAACATAAACTCGAAGCAACATCCTTATCTTTGCGGTTTTACTTATAAAACCGTTTTATCAGAGGCCTTGTTTACATTTTGGTGGCTAATCTAAATAGGTTTATTACTTTTAAACGTGTTAAATATTCTGTTTTTGGTCGTCACTTAATGCTAAATTCATTCACATCTGGAATGTTACTTAATACACCGTTTTACAGCAAATATTTCATAACTTACTTTTAATTCACATTTATTTAAGCACAGTTTGATGGTAATTTGTTTAGTATTCATCCGGCTGACTGGATTTATATCCCGTAAGTCGTTAAATCGTGTAGAAAGTGCCCGCCTCGGGAGAAACAGGATGCGGAACGCGGGTTGCCCCGGAGCTCTGATTTCCGATTACCGACAAATCGCATCCAATCGAATTCCAATTCCAGTTGATTTGTTAATCAAGATGCAGTGCACACTGGCAAACATATCGCTTCTCCACTGCCAAGTAAACAACTTTCCAGGCCCGAGGTTGCTGTTGCTGGCACTTCAAATTTCGCATATTAATGAGGTTGCAGTTGCCGTTGCAGTTGCAACTTGCAATTCAACTCCCCGCGTTGTCGCCGTGTGTCAAAAGTTTGTTTTAGATTTAGATTTCACGCTTGTTTCCATAGAAGCTCAACACTAAAAAACGTGCCACCGTAAAAGCGACAAAAAATATACAAACTGAAACAAAAAAAAAATAAAGTTGTACACGAAATGAAAACCGAAGCTCTGAGATTTGTATTGCATGTACTCCTGGGGGTCCCCGGAGTTGATATTGTTTTAGTGTGTGGAGCGTATGAGTGTGTGTTTTTGTGCTCACAGAAAGTCATTAAAAGTTCATTAACAATGTTGCTGGGATTTTAATGGCAGCCCAGCGCACCAGCAGCAATAACATCAGCGACTAAAACAACTCTGCCAGGCTGCGGAGGCTACACATGTCTGCATTTTAAATAGCCTACAAACACAACAAATACAACATTGGCTTCAATGCTTACGAGTGTGTACGGTTTTGCAGGGAGAAAAAATAGTGGGTGTGTCATTAGATCTATTAAAATTCAATCAATATTACATTTTTGAGGATTCCTCAATCGAAAACAGGATATCAGCTTTAGGCTGCCTTTTGGCGTTTTCCAACATTGCTAAAGATATTTCAAAAACTGATAGTAAAGCTTCATGTTTTTAAAACTACTTAAGTTGTATGGAAATAAAGACAATAAATTGACTTTTGAAGCATTAACATGATAGATTACAATTACTAGAAATCGAATATTAACCTTTTTTTTGGAGTGCACCAGCCCAGCACACATAAGTCAAATAAACGTACAAACTGCACACAAAAACTCACGCTTAGCTGCTTGCTGCTACATGTGGGCGTGGCAGTTTGTTGATATTGCCATTGTTGTTTTTGTTGCTGTGCTGACATGTTGTCGCTGCGCAAATAAACTAAATGAAAATTTTGTATATTGTAACAATTATCCGAGCATCGCAACTGGCAACTGTTTGCTTTGTTAGCTCCCGTTCCTCGTCAGGAACAGGATACCGTGGATGCGGACACGGGAATGCGAGTGGGAGTGGGAATGGCGCGGAAACTAATCCGTTATGAACGCATTACCGGTCCAACAAATGTGGCGTTTTTCCCAAAAGGGAACCGATATAATCTGCTGAGCTTTAGCTTTTCTGTCAGAGCTCTTTCTGTTTTTCGGAGTGGTTATTTTATTTTTGCTTTCATTTTGTGGGGAAAGCCTTGACAAACTTTGTCGGCATGGAAATGTAGGCGGGAAGGCTCAAGGACAATCCAGCAGGCATGCGTTTGCATGGCCCAAAGAGCTCTGGTCTGATGTATGTTTTTCCATAAACACAGACAGAGGATAATATTGCATTTCCTTGTTGCCAAAAAATGTATCTCCTGTAAGGGAAATGCCATAAATTATTTAAACATGAAATTTGCATGGATATTGTCATGAAGAAAGTAAAAGTACGCTTGGAAATATCCTACCAATCAACGATGCACATGATTTGTTCTCTGTGTAAAAGCCAGGCATTAGGTGCGTTCACAGAAAAAATACAGAGCTCTCAGGCAAGCACTTTGGCGAACATCGATATGGAAAAGTGGACTGCCAACAGTGCGTATGCGTGTTGCGAAAAACTATGAGAACTACGGTGCTCCAAAAAGGCCTTCATTCAGAACTTGTGCAAATGTCATCAAAATGTAAAGCACTGATGCTGAAAACAGTGCCCTGTGCAAATTGGATGCACGTATCCATTTCACAGACACTGGAAAACATTTCTCGAAAAAACTGTTGCATAAAAAGTGTATTTACATAATTAGCAGCAATAATTTAATTGATCGGCATTTAGCGCATGATTGAAGTTAATTATTATACACAGATAATGTGGAAAAAAGTGGAAATCCCTGATGAAATATTAATACTCGGGCACGGAACTCACAATTCCCATAATTCAATGGATGTTCGACTTTTGTTTGAGTTTGCAATTAATCGTGTACGGCGTTCAATTATGCAGCTACCAAATAGCCTGATGCAATAAAGCAAATCAAATATTTATTTATCAATGCGTTTGTGGGTCTATATTACATTTTTGGGTCGCTTGATTGGTTGCAATTTCATGCAAAGCAAATTGGTATTGATGCTGCATAAATTAGATGACATTTGCAGTATGAGCTTTGTTTTTAGGTCATCAAGTGTCTTGTTTAGGTGGATGAAGAGGGCTCTGTAAGAGCTCTTGGTACAAATATTTAAAATACGTCTTATCTTTTAGGTAAAACTTGGCTCTGTGAGCCTTGACTCTTCTGTTAGCGGTTGACCAACAAGTCAAAACAGTCAAGTTGTAGATTTTTTTCCAACTGTCTAAATGGAAATGCAAAAAGCAAAGTTTTTTCCGCCCAGATCCCAGCTTCTTGCGCTGCAAAAACACGCCAAGCGACTAAAAAGAGCTTAGAAAACAGACAGAAGACCGAAGCCGAGAGAAACTATTGCATACTTACGAGCGCAAGCAACGAGTGTGCCGCGAGGCGGGGCATTTATGGCATGAATGCGAAACCAAGGCGCGATAAGCCAGATAAGACGGCAACAGGCGGGGGCACTTGGCAATTACAGCAACAGAGATTACAAAACCCTGCAACACAAGCACAAATACCCGCACCGTACAAGCACAAAAAAGCAACAACAATGGCCGCAGGGCCAAGAGGCGACGCCATCAAAGCAAATAACACACAAAAGTTATGATAAATGCAGATGGAGCACGGCTAACGGCATTATTGCCTGTCATTTCTCATCAGCGACGCATCGACGGTGCGACAGAGGGGGGATAGAAAGAGAGAGCCGCAGCAACAGTCGACTTCCGGGTGCCGTCGCCATATTTGCTGGTTGTAATGGCTGTCCTGTGTGCCGGTATAGGGTGCCAGGATACCAGGGTGCGCCGTCTGAATGGCTCGGTAATGAAAGCGGGAAGACGGGGTAATAAAACACGATTTTTGCTTCGCTTTTATTTTCTATTAGGCGCCCTGTGGAACTGTTTGGGGTTCCCTTCCTTCATTCCCAGCGTTATCCTTTTGGTCCTTTTCACTGTTCTCTGGGTGAGCGATGAATTGCAATTTGCAAAGTTTTTGTTTGCTCTGTCTAGGAGTTTGCCGATGTAACTCGGAAAAACTTCATTTTCCGCTACTTCATTCTGCGCTCTGTGAGTTTTCGGCGGGTGGTGGGCCGAGGGCGGTACCGTCAGCGGCGACAATTTCTCCCGAGCCACGCCCCACTGTGGGTATACTTTCTCTTATTTGAAAAACATTTTCAGAAACAAAAACTTTTCGTAGGAACTCCTTTGAGAGCAAAGAAACATGCCTTTAATGTAAAAATTTAATAAAGTTATTGAATGGATTTTCAATATTTATTATTTATAATTGGGTAAAGGACTCTCGTCCTGTGAAAACTTACTTTTTTTTGTTATAAAAACCACAAAATATACCTTTATATTTCCTCGAATTTTATGACAACTTTAATTAACATTTTTATTGCCTTTTAGGTTTTTTTCTGGTACAACCTTTGCGAAATATTCTTATATAATGAATATATTTTTCAACCACCATGGCTTCTTTTCATTGGACTGACATTCTCATTTCGGTGGCTGGCGGGTGTCCCCTGCCGAAGCTAAAGTGTTTTTAATTGTCGCTCCGAAGGATCCACAACCACGTGTGTCATCCAGCCAGCCATCCAACCGGATTCGGGGCATGGCCACTGTCATTTCCAGCTATCTGGTTTCCTGGCAAACTGGCAACTGGCAGCTGGCAAGCGAGCCATCTCCTTCCTGGAAATCACTTGCCTCGCATCCGGACAAGGATTCGGACTCGAACTGGGAATAGGAATGGGACTCTGCTAATGACCGCTGCTAAGTGCCTCGATTTGTGCAGTGTGCACTCCATTCTACCAGGACTGCAATTAACTAATTGATTGAACTATTCAATCGGTGAAAATGCACAGCACTTTGGGGGCGTCTTTATGGACAGAGGTTGTGAACGAGGGCAAAGGCCAGTGAGTGGGCGTGGCAGTGAGCGTGACTGGGTGTGGCGTGCTTATTATTAAAGGATTGCCATTTAAGGAGCGGAGCATTAAACCTATCTTCTGAGGGATTTTGTGTGTGGCGTGGTTGAAAGCTTTTAGAAATCCCTCCATCACCCGCATATCCCGGTTCCAGGCAGTTTC